CTTAAAGCAACTTTTATTACGGAATCCGGTATTTGAATTGTTTATATTATATCATTAGGGTTTTTAAATGCATTAATTAATTATCTTTTGTTAAAGATTATTTTAACATTGCATGAAGAAACTGAAGAAACTAATCTTTTAACACAATATGCTGTGAGGTAATATAAATTTAAAATATTCGAATTTTTTATCATTATTCGTATTTGTCTTTATAACTTTTCTTCATTGATACGTAGATGTTCGGAAATAGACAAGTTTCTTTTAATATATGTTATCCTAAAACTTCGTTTAATTAAGGGAAAGTGCATAATATTTGTTAATGATATTGATCGATGTTATCGATTAAAATTATTCTTGGAACAATTCTCAATAAAAAGTTGTGTTTTGAATTCAGAATTGCCTTTAAATTCTAGGTAATGAAATATATTCGGCACAACGTAATTATAAATACAAGTTACCTAATTTAATTTTGATTATAACTATCTAGATATCATATAGTGCAGGAATTTAATAAGGGAGTTTATGATTATATCATTGCGACCGATGAGGGAGATTTTAAAAGTGAGCAAGATACTGAAGATGAGTTGAACGGAGAAGAGCTTGGAGGTACGTAGTTACAATTATTTTCGTATTATTTTTGATGACCGCTGTTTTATTGATGAGTTCCATAATGCAGATAATGCAGTTTCAGAATCAAAAGATATGACTCATTCAAACAAAAAATCAGTATCATTGGAAAAGAACGGAAAGAAAAAATTGCGAGCGCGAAAGAAGGATAGAGAATATGGAGTATCACGCGGCGTTGATTTCATAAATGTGACGGCAGTCATTAATTTTGATTTTCCAACTTCAGCAAAATCATATATTCATAGAGTAGGACGAACTGCACGTGCTAACCAGAGAGGAATGAGTTTAAGTTTTGTTGTTCCAAAAGAATTTGTTGGACAGAATAAGAATGTTATGTGTTTAACAACAAAACGCGATGAGGAAATTTATGCACGCGTAGAGAAGAAACAATCCCTCGCTAATTCTACAATCAAGCCTTATTCATTTGATATGAATCAAGTAGAGGGATTTCGTTATCGTATTGAAGATGCATTGAGAGCAGTGACCCGTGTCTCTATTAAAGAAGCACGAGTAAAAGATGTTAAATCAGAAATATTAAATTCTGAGAAATTGAAGGTAAAAATCGATAAATCGATCCAAAGGATTTTTGTAATAAAATAATTAAAATGAGGGTTAATTAATTAATCCTAAATTTATTTCAGGCACATTTTGAGGACAATCCTAATGATTTAACTATATTACGTCATGATATTACTATTCATCCTGCTAGAGTTCAACAACACATGAAACATATACCATCGTATCTAATGCCGAAAATTGCACCACCCTCTGGTGTTAATTCTGTTCAAGATGATAAAGAAGATTCTTCAAAATTAGGACGCATTCCATTTCATAAAAATTTACCAAATAATCGTCGTCGAACTCAGAATCATCATAATTCTACTCATAAGGTATTTCAAAAATTATTATTATGTCTTATTGTCGAATTATAAAAACTAATTTTAATTAATATGTAAAATAGAAACGCAAAAATGATCCTTTAAAAACATTTAGTATTGGTGATGCTTTTTCTACTAATGGAAAAAGACAGGTAATGTAATTTTTATTATAATTAAAAAAAAAGAATTTCATTTTTTTTATATAAGCAAGCTAAATTAATTTTATTATAGAGAAGGAAATGATTAAAATCTATCAATCAGAACTACTTTTTGAGGATAGGCATATATATGTATTAAATTGAACTTTTGACATTTCATAAAAGTTTTAAATTTTACGCAAAAAGGATTATTTATTTATTCAGTAAAGTTTTTTTTTTGTGCTTTTCGTGCTTTTGATAAAATTTTGTTAAAATAACATATTAGCAATAATAATATAAGCAACATTCAATAAAATGAATAGAAAATAATATCATCTAAAAATACAGCAAAGGTAAGATGAATTGAAAATAATATCATCTAAAAATACAGCATAATAAGAAGAATTTCAATGTCCATATGAAAAAGGGGTTTGTTTGACTTTCATTCCTGTTTTATACCAAACTCCCAACACCGGTACCTCCAGTGATAGAGCTAGCTTTATGTTCTTGATGCTTAATTGCGGCTATACAATAACAAATTCCGGTAATAGCTAAAGTAATACCAGACAGGATGTAGGCCCAATGTTCAAGTATGCCTATAATCAATATCAACGTGGAAAATCTAAAATTATTTTTTAAGAGATTAAAAAGTCGATACGAGTAACCTTTCTTCAATGCTAAGGGTGACTTACATCAAATATCCCGCAGTCCTAACATAGTTATTCTCGAAAGTTTTGATAAACATATCACTAATAAATTTATGAAAAAGAAACTATTAATTAAGGTACTAAAATTAAATTGAGAATATAGATATGTTAAAAAAGGAACTTACAATTTATCGCTTGTCGGGCAGATCTGAACAGATTTTTTTTGTTTTAAAAATGATTAATACAATAATAATACATAATGGTTAAAACTTTTTTTTATTTTTTTATATTTTAAAAGTGAAAATACCTTCATGCACAACGGTACTTCCACAAATATGAGAATAAAGACCAAAAGCCTATGCGGATAATAAAAAAAAAAAATGGATATTAGATGATGGAATTTCAAAAGGAATGAGTGTAAAAAAAAGAGTAGAAGATAATATTAAATAAAAGATCATACCATGCTATAATTGAAAAAAACGAGAAAGGGAGGAAACCAGCAATGAAAAGCACTAAAAAAAAAAAAAAAAATACGGGAAAATAGTAAATAATAAGTCAAAAAAAAAAAAAATTTTCTGTTTAAAAAAAAAATATATAAATATATTTACAAAGTATGGAGAGTAGACCAAACCTTTGGTTCGAGTAACAAAAAATGGTTTGTTAGAATAGGTATGTTATTAAAACATTGTACGCGAATACATAATATAACCGACGGTACTCACCATTGAGCATAGATCGTAAAGTTTTTAGATTTGAATTCTTCTACCAAACCCATTGTTTTTTTTTTATTATGATGGACAGGGAAAAAAAGAAAATGAATTATGTTCTGATAATCATAACACGTTCCTTTTTCTATTTATGGGTTTGATCCTAATTACCCTAATTAATCTAATGATTTCTAGAATCATTTTATTACATCATTGATTGACCAAATTAGAAAAGCCAAGCATGCCAAGTAGAAAGTTTCCTCTTTAAGTTTACGGAACGGGTTTACACGTGATATAACACGTGACTATCACACATTATTTGAAACTAATCCATTTAAAAAAAATCCAAAAAAAAAGAATCCAAAAAAAAAAAAAAAAAACCTTTTTTTTATAACAATTTTAAAAAAGAATCATAATTACAGTATGTCTCTTTTTTGCAACATGCTCGGCTAAGCCACAAATATAATTACTACTAATGAACTATGTTCGTATTTTTTTTACGATTGGTTTCATGTCTGAAATAGGTAGTAGGTTATAAATGATATATGTACATCATAAACACGCGATATCGGATCAACTCCAAAGTAATTGACAAACAAATCATACATTGTTTGTAATTAATTTAATTTGTTTTTTATTAACTTTCTGATCTAAACTAATTTGGCAACTATCAAATCCCGGCTAGTGTCAAATTTTCATTTTAGAGTTCTATGAACCATGTTCTTTAAATTTAATTAAAAAGTTATTAAGAAATGCTTAAATTGGTCCGATAACGATAAACTATCTTTTTTTAATATAGGTTTTTTTTTTTTTTTTTTTATGAATGTTTTGCTTATTATAAATTCCTTAGTTTGTTTGTTAGTTTACGATTACAAAATACGAGGTAAAACACAACGAAAAGACTTTTTTTGTAATTATATAATTTTTTTTTTTTTCATTAGTAATAAAGCTATCTACATTTACATGTACATATACAAAAATTATATTATTATTATTAATTTTTTTTTTTTTTTTAAATCACCTTTCGCCGAATTCTTCATTAACAAAAAAAAAAAAAAAATTAATAAAATCTTTGCAAAGGTGGCGTTTTGGGGATTTTTATTTGTTTTTTGTTTTGTTTTGTTTTTCTTTTTTTTAAAATATATATATATATATATATATAAAATCCTTTGGTCGATTTTCTGTTCTTTGTCGGGAGTTGTCATTGTGTTTAATAAAAACTTAAATTTTTTTGAAACCTATATATTACGATGATGTTAAAAAAAGGAAGACGAAAAATTCGTGGATCGATTACCACGTAAAGTTTTTTTTTTTCAAAAAAAAAAAAATAAATAAATAAATAAATAAAAATTAGCCTGGTCGTTTCATTGAAGAGTCGTTATTCGAATAAAACGCGAGAAAAGATATAAATCATAACCAAGCCCTAACGAGTGACGGAATCGGTGAAGTCGACATATCGTGCTTATTTGCCCAATCGTAAATAAAGATTAACCGAACATAAAAGAAAATGAAATGATGAGTCTAGTTATGAGAAAAAACGCTGTACAAGAAAAAAACGGGTGTTCTATATAAAAGGGAAATGTAAGTATAAATTTGTTTTTTTTGTTCGGCAATATAAAAAGGGGGAAGATATACGTATTCGATGCCGAATAATGACCCCAATTAATCTAAATCCCAAGAAAAATAAACCTAATTAAGAAAATGCATGAATGTATAGCATCTCTGTCCTCATTATTTGTGAATGTTTAAGCAGGAAAACAATTTTTCCCTTGAAATAACGCTTTATGAAATAATAAAGACATTGAGAATAGGAAAAAAACAAGAAAGAAAAAAAAATAGTTGAAAAAGGGGGAAAAATATACAAGGCAATTTCAAGGAGAAAAAAAAATCTTTTTTTTTGTTTTAATAAAACTTTCACGTGTCAAAAAGACGAGAGGATATGTCAATAAATATTTGAATTTGTTTATCCAAAAAAAAAAATAAACAATTCCTATAAGGACTTTTTTAATTAGAACAAATTCCTAGTCCATTATTATTAAATCCACCAACAAAGTATCCAGTTCCACAAGACGAATCACCTTCATGACGACTGGAAGAAACACTCTGCGGCGAGGAATTGTATGTTGATTGTGAATAACCACCAGGTGGAGATGTGTTGTCAACGTTTGGAGTAGAATCACTAGAAACAGTGTTTGAATCTATGCCACTATCTTCCTGTTGGATTGGAGAATTGAAAGGTGAAGTAGTTGGTGAAGCATGTATAGTCGGTGTAGCAATGCCTAAATAATTTGATGAAAATTTTTAATAAAGGTAAATTTGTCAAAAGGGTTGGCATCATAAAATTAGTTCTTACCAAAAACGTCAACTGGTGAAGCGGAAGGTGTGGCTGGGTGAGATGGCGTCAAAGATAATCTATAATTGTCATTATCTAATTGCGGTGTGGAACTATATGACTTTTGATGCCAAGCATGTTCAGTTGAAGCTGAAGCGGTTGTATGACCATTAAATGGCCAACTATCTTCGTCATTATTAAGAAGTTCTGCGCAGCCGGATCCTTGATCTTTTCCAAGCACGGGGAAAGGATTATAATCAACGTATTGGGGTGAATTTACAGGAGTTCCTTCATTATCAACTAATGGAGATGTCATATTTGCGAAATGTCCTAGGTCAACATTTGGAGATTCATGAGGAGTACCACAAATGGGAGAGACATTTCCATGAGGTGGACTTGGAAATGGTGTGGAAATTTGTGACAAATGTTGGATCTCGAATCCGCCTGTAGTAGTACCAGGTGATATATGTAGAGTACCGTAGGGCAGATTCTGAAATTGATCATTGTTACAGTGATAATTTTTATGATGAGTCGTTATCTTTGTACGAGTATCAATAGAAGGCAGTGAAGAGGAAGGAAACGATGGTAATAAAGAGGAGGAAGTAGATGATGATGATGATGATGATGATTCGGAAATTGGTAGAGAGGATTTAATGATGGGTGGAGATAAAATTGAGGTGAGATTATTAGAACTCGTGATGAGGTAGTTGTCGTTGTGGTTAGGATTGTAGATTATGTTACCGACCTTACTTCCAGCACCCAAATTGGGCAATACAAACATTGAATCATGCGGTTGTTGATGCTGTTGTCCATTGTTTTCAGGATTTGACCAAAAGTCCATCATCGATAAACGATGTGAACTGCAGGTATTTGCATGATCCTGTAACACTTGTAAAGCGGTGAACTGTGAATATCTCTGAAACAGAGAAACGATTCTATCATAATGTTGTTCAGCAATTTGACTGGTTTCTTCATTTCCCCTGAATTTATTCAAGGCATGGATCATTCCAGCCTGTAATAGGCACCAAGTCGTACAATTAAGAAAACCTCTAAAAGGAGTGGAAGCTGTACGAAGAATCTTTTCACCGATGGGAGTAACTTGGGCAGCAGCCTGTGTACATTTCAAAAGGGAATCGAAATTTGCAATGTACCTCCTATGTAAAAGGATGATGAAGGAATGGTATAGCATATGTAGGTGCAAGTTGGTTGTGGAGTATTTGTTGGAGTTATTAACTAACGCATCTGTGGGTTGAAGGGGTAAATGATAAGCCCAAGAATGAACCTGATCTTCAAAATTTGTCACGACATTATCCTGATTGATATATGCCGTAGAGTTGATCTTTGAAGAAAAATTATGCTTCAATAATAAATGCAACATTCGTGTGAATTTGATCTGATGAACAAATTCATTGATGGCGCCATTCACTTTTAGCTCAGGTTCATCGACTTCGGTGGCAGGCTCAGGGATTGTACATTCATCTTCTTCAATGTTACTGGCTTTACCGATGCCGCAGCATACCAAAACGTCTACCATGAATAGTGACCACCATAACCTTTTTCTTAACTCCTTATGAGAGTTATCAAGTAGAGGATCTTCACAATCCTTATTGAGCTCCAATTCTAGAGCCATACGATTGGCCATCCCAATATACATCCATCGACGAAAATATCCTGGGGAAATTCCCGAACGTCTGGTATTGTGTTGCTGATAAATTGACATAAGGATAAGGGCCGCTATCGTTGACATTCTTGGGGCATCCATAAAATCGTCAAGCAAAGCACGAGCCCTGTCAAAATAGACCCATCCACCTGTTTCAAGGGTCTCTGGATCAGCGCGCACGGATGAACGCTCAGAAAATTCGGCTGAAATGCCGAACATCGCGTTAAGAAGTAAGGGAGATGGCGGATCATTAGAATTTTCACGTTGCTGAAGGAAGAGGTCCTTATTGAGGACCGGTACATAAGGATGAACATTGGCCCAATAAAGTTCCAATAAATGTTCGACAATGTCATTATTTGGCATGGCCGGAGTGTCAATTGATGGAAGCTTAGGTTCTGGTTTCGCGACTGATATGGAATTGGTTTGCCAAGACGCAGCTGCAAAATTTTTTTTTTTTTAATATATATATATAAAAAGGAATGGAAGAGTGAAAAAAAATTTTTTTATTTTTTTTTTTTTTTTTTTTAAATTAAATAGGACTGATCATCGTAATACCAGAATACCGGATGATTATGGTCAATCATATCAAAAAAAAAAAAAAAAAAAAAAAAAAAAATATTTCAGGTGAGATAAAAATGCTTACGTTGAGGAGAGGTAGTTATGGTTGAACTGTTAGTAAGGATTCCTTGAGTAGAAGTCGTAGCGCGACGAGAGGGAGGCAAACTTTGAGATACATGCTCAACTTCTTCAATTGGACGTTTTCCTCGATGACCCGAGTAGGAGTGCTGCCTAGTGGAAGTTCCAGTTTGTTGAGAATTTGTTGATTGGGAGGAAGATTGAGAGTTTCCAGCATTACTACCACTTCCGCCGTTGTTGCTGTTATCATTATTTTCATTATTATCGTTTCCAGAATTTCTGTTGGACGGTTTGTTGCCTCTTGGTTGTCTTTCAATCTTAACATAAATACAACTTGTAGCGTATTTTTTACAATTAGCACAAGGATTTCTACCATCACATCTTATCTTGCGTTGACGACAGAAAGAACAAGCCATTTGAACACGTTGGCGTTTTATGAAGAAAGGATCATCGATCCAAACAACGGAAGAATAACTCATTTTCGTAAGTCTTTTTTATCGTTACTGTTGGATAAATAAAAAGAAAAAGGAAAAAGAATGAATGATTGATTGATTGATTGATTGATTGATTGAATGAATGAAAAATAAATAATAAATAAATAAATAAAAGAAACGGGTTGTTTTTTTTATTAACGAACTACTTACATAAAGTAAAAAAAAAAAATTTTTTTTTTTTCTGGTTTCAAGGAAAATGGTTCTCGTAATGATAAAGGCTTCAAAAAAAAAAAAATTATCGTGGGCAAAAAGAAAAAAAAAAAAAAAGGAAAGAAAGAAACGGTGTTTATTTATTTATTTTTTTTTTTTTTTCAAAATTATTGACGAATTTATATAAAAATGCAATAATATGATTAATATAAATTCGATTATCAGACTATTAAAATGATATGTATGTATGATAAAATAGCAAACAGAAACGATGCAATATGATAAAATAAGAAAAATACGAGGGAAAAAAATCTTAAGACGTGAATTATCAATGGCAATAATATACGAATAAAAGCTAAGATGAAAAAAAAGATAAATAAAAAGGAAAGTAAAATGGTTGGTGAATAATATGCGTGAATAAGCGCGTATGGAGAAATATCTAGTGGTTAGAATTAAAAATATATACGATTCTGCACTATACGTAATGTATATAAATACACACTACAATTTTAAAGTGCATACAGGCCAAAAAATGTAAAACGCTATTGATTTGTTTGTTATTTTTATTTTTATATCTGGAAAAAAATAAAATAAAAAAAGAAAAAATTTCAAGTTCTAAAATATACGATCAAACCGTTATTTTTTCGATTGAATTTCTTTTTGGAAGGATTAAAAGGTAGACAGGTAGGTATATATACAGTTTTTGTGGAGATCAGTTGTTCTTTTTGAATACTTATAGGGAAAAAATACATGTACTGAAATAAATTTTATTTTATAGAAATATATATATATATACACACTGTAATACTGTTACAGCTTTTGTTTATTTTTTTGGAAAAAAAAAATTTTATTTCAATTATACCTTTTTAAAATACATCCCGTTAGTACTGTGTAATCATCCCATTATACTGTCAAGTATATTTCTGTTATTTATTTATATATATGTTGGACATTCTTATAACTACCCATTCACTATTTCTTTATTTAAGCAAGCTTACACCCTTTTACCACTTATTCTAAAATTTGTATAAACATTATAAAATAATAAAATAATACCAATCTTTTTTTGGAATAACTATTTTTGAGAGTCACACCAACGAACTATACCTTGCCTTTTTTGTCATCTCCCATCTTCGGTCGAGGCTTGTCCATTTTGTGGCTCACCCGTGGCCCATTAATTAAAAATGTGACCATTCTCTCGCATTTGTGATCACCAAGTTAAACAAGGGACTTTCTTTATTTGTGTGGCTTGATATGATGAATTTCGTTTATTACTTACGTCGAAAAAAACGAATGCAGATCATAATAAATTCCTCGCTTTTCCTTTTTTTTTCAAACACAAAATAAAACAAAATTGAGATGAATTTGTTTTGATCAATGATATCCTCTTTGTTGATTAAAGGTTTTGGAATTTAAAGGTATTCACATGCATTAATTAAAAAAAACCAATTGTTTTCCTTGTTAGTAAGCATTTAAAAAATGCGTGTGGTAATGAAAAGTGGCTGTGAAGTGGAAAATTTTCCAATTTTGATCTGAAAAAGGATTTTCAAATACAAGATTCAATACATGTTGGGTGATGATTGATAAGAACGACTGCGGGTAAATTCGACTGTTTCAAATACACAAAAGTGATACCATAAGTGACTCCTTTATGTTACATGAAGCGCGTTAAAAAAGAAGTTTAGAAGAAAATAGAGACGATTCTGCTCAATCAATTTGTTTTTATTAAAAAAAAAGAAGAGACATTTATTTATTTCCTTATTCGTCCTTATTTAATTTTTCTTTACAAGAAAAAAATATATATTCAATCCACGGGATAGATATATCAGATGATATTTTTTTATACGACTTCTTTCACTAAAAGATACATATGTGTCTGTTTATGCATCCTTTTTAGTATGATTGAATGATACAAAGAATCTACCTTTTTGATTGTAAAAATATTATGTTATCATTAACCTCGAACGAATCGAAATCGGATCTCTTTATTATCGTGATAATTATCAATAATTTATCTCATCATTTCACAAATTGTGTGTTCCTATTTACTTCTTTATGTTTATAACGTTTTCAATGGCGGAGATATAACTGTACCAATCAATCATCAGGGATAGATTCAAACAAGTTTTTTGTAGTTTTATTTGTTTGGAATTCTTTGTTCAATAAGAATATGAACATTGTATTGAAGAAACCATGTGTAAAAAACCCCAATCTAATATAGTTATTTATCGGGAAATTATCGGAGACGCGACACAATCGGAATTAGGCATCCGAATAAGTATCATAAACCGTCCCTTTATAATCATATATCTAATAGAAAAAAGAAGGTTTTATGTTTGGACAACGCGAAAATAGAATGCAATCTCTGCATACGAATAATGTTATTCAAAAAAAAGATCTTTAAGCCAATTTAAAACGCGAAATATTTTAAAACCTTTTTTTTATTTTGGAATACGCGAAGATGTGTAGCATATAATCAATGATGAAGCGGGAATGAGAATTTTTGATCAAACCCGTCTCCGATTAGAAAATATCGCGCAAATTTGATTGATTTAAAAATGAAATATCGATTAAGGGATGATGTTCATTCTTTGAACATTTATGGAAATATTTTGATGAGGAAAAAAAAATTATTCGCGCGAAATGAACAAAACATAATAAATAGCATATAAGACGCGAAACAATCAATTGCATCCTATTACTCAGTGCTTTTCCAAATTTATACGATGGGAGCTAGGTCGTTACACAAAAAAATAATGATTAGTTCAAGATTTAAGATTTGAACGCCAATTTGGGTGATTGGCGTAGTATAAACAAAACAAAAAATTTTTTTTTTTTATTACTTTTAGGATAAATACATCAGAAAACCGGAATTAATTATTTCTTTTAAAAAAAAATTTTTTCAAAGTAAAAAACTTGTAATTTATCAATCATTCTTATCATATTATATGAACTAAAAAACTTGAACTAAATGTAATCGCCACATTGGCCACAAACAATGTCCAAAAACATACCAGCAATAAAAAAAACTAGTCGTTCGTGTTACCCTCTATTGTGTTGGCGGGTAAAATTCAAGTAACTTCCATTTTAATACTGATTTTAGATTCCTTATTTGTATTGGTGATCGCGTGTTGTTGGTTATTTGAGGTATCACTGCATTGTAAACGAGTTTTTACGAACCTCGCCTCAAATTTTTATCCAATAATCGTTTGGAGACATAATTTCCAAAAATTATTTAACTATCACTTAATAAGTTTGATGCTTGCAACACCGCCACAAAAACTTTGAAATTCAAAATTCAACAAGCGATTTCAGGTAAATTTTTTTTTTTTTTCCTTCATAAAAAGATTGAATTTAATTTTTATCTAAAACATCTCACACCACACAAACATCAGATTTTTTTTTTTTTTTGTTTGGGTTCCACTTTGAATTGATTGGTTACCATTAGAAAATGATGTTCGTAGTAATACTGAAAATGTTCAACAAGTGTAAAACACTTTTTTTTAAAATTGCCTTAAATTTATCCTAATTATTTAAAGCGACCGACAAACTATCTTTTTATTTATTTGTTTATTACCTTCCTTGGTGTTTTAGAGGAAATTAATTGGATCACTTGTATCTCTAACGTTATCTCCGTTTTTTCCTCACCCACTCATTTCGGTTGACTATCTATCCCCTGCAGCTAAGATCAACCGAGTTCTGGAAAAATTTCAAAAACATGAGATGGCACTGAAAGTTCAAGTGGCTTTAATATTTATCATTCAGAAAAGCCTTTTTCCTCATCAAATATTTTCTGAATGGTTCCCATGTACCTTCCATAAATGTATAAACAAGTAATAACGAACAATTAAAATGAAATATTATTTTAATATTATTTATGTGTATGTAAATATTGTACCATGTGCTCTCAATCTCAAAAAAAAAAATAGAGTTTTTTTTGGCGCCCTTTTTACTTTTACCAACTTTTGTAACCACTTGGTTGATCATGCTAAGTGGGACAATAATAAATGTATATCAAAGTTCCTTAATAAGGACACAAATTTAAATTATTTGGACCATATCATCCTGTTATTTTTCTTGCTTGTTCCTGTATCCTATTTTTAGCACATATGAGACAATGCTATTTATGATTTTCATATAACTCGGAATGACTCTCCATTGAGTATTTATAGCACAAATATTAAGTCTTATGAAACCAATTATGTGGTGTTTTATGTTATTTCATTGTTATAAAAACAAAAAAAGAAAAAAAACTGATTTTTTTTGCTGTTCCTATCAGGATCGAATGTGGCGAAATGAATTGGTTGTATCTCACGTGGTTTAACAAGTACCATATGCCAACTTTTTACTTGTTTGATATTTATATGAATTCTGTTAGTCATAATTAGCTAATGATTATGTTAAACATATCGGACTTTTACTAAAATATTTGATCTATGTTTATTCATGTGACAGGTAAACTTTACATAATGGATTTAAAAAAAGAGATCCTTTGGAATAAAAAAATTTCTTTATTATATAATATTATTATATAAAGTACGATATAGTTTTTATTTTTAAAAAGATAGTAATTACATACATATCGATACACAAACTACATAAACACATTTTTTATTGTTACCTTGTTCTTTATCTTTCCTTTTATATTCATTATTATTTTTTAAAAAAAACATTGAAACTAAAAATTTAATTTCAACAGAAATATTCACCTAATATTTACCTAATATTTGTCAAATAGTATTAGCAATGCCTTCATATTTTAAAATGTTAATGTTTATATAACCCTTTTCTAAATTTAAGTTGTAAAAAATACAAAGCAAAAGTAAATTATTACA